GTTACTGGGAGTTACTGGTTTGGGGTCTGGGGGTCACTGGGAGTTACTGGGAGTTACTGGGAGTTACTGGTTTGGGGTCTGGGAGTTACTGGGAGTTACTGGGAGGGACTGGGAGGGACAGGGAGGGGATTGGGAGGGACTGGGAGTTACTGGGAGGGACTGGTTTGGGGTCTGGGGGTCACTGGGAGTCACTGGGAGTTACTGGGAGTTCCTGGGAGTTATTGAGAGTTACTGGTTTGGGGTCTGGTTCATACTGGTTTATACTGGTCTATACTGGGAGGGGCCTTAGGCAGGGACTGGGTTGAACTGGGAGAGGCCGGGGGCAACCCTCTACCGGCCCATACCGGTCCATCCCGCTGTATACTGGTTTATACTGGTCTATACTGCTCCATACTGCTCCGTACTGGTTCATACTGGTTTATACTGGTTTGTACTGGTCAGTGCTGCGCTGCCTGGGCCTCCCCACCCGCACGGTGACCAACTACAACTCCGCCCACGACACCGACGTGTCCCTGACCACCGACATCTACTTCGACGAGAACATGAAGCCCCTGGAGCGCCTCAACACCGACTCCGTCTGGTTCGTACTGGTTTATACTGGTTTGTACTGGTTTGGTGCTGGGAGGGGGCGGGAGGGGGCGGGGAGGGGGGAAATGGGGGCTGGGAGGGGCTGGGAGGGGACTGGGAGGGACTGGGAGGGACTGGGAGGCTCCGGAGCGGAGGAGAAACCCATCCTTCTCTTGCTACTGGTTTATACTGGTTTATACTGGTTTGGGACTGGGAGGGGGCGGGGAGGGATAAATTGGGACTGGGAGGCACTGGGAGAGACTGGGAGGGACTGGGAGACACTGGGAGGGACTGGGAGGGTCCAGGGTGGGGGTAAACCCTTCCTTTTCTTGCTACTGGTTTATACTGGTTTATACTGGTTTGGGACTGGTTTGGGACTGGGAGGGGGCAGAGGGGGATAAATCGGGACTGGGAGGGACTGGGAGGGACTGGGAGGCACTGGGAGGGACTGAGAGGGACTGGGAGGCTCCGGAGCAGAGGAGAAACCCATCCTTTTCTTGTTACTGGTTTATACTGGTTTATACTGGTTTATACTGGTTTGGACTGGGAGGGGGACATTGGGGATAAATCGGGACTGGGAGGGACTGGGAGGCACTGGGAGGCACTGGGAGGCTCCAGAGTGGGGGTAAACCCATCCTTTTTGTTGCTACTGGTTTATACTGGTTGATACTGGTTTATACTGGTTTGTACTGGTCCGTGCTGGTTTCCCGCAGGAACTTCCACGTGTGGAACGACTGCTGGATGAAGCGGCCGGACCTGCCCGACGGCTACGACGGGTGGCAGGTGGTGGACGCCACCCCCCAGGAGACCAGCAGCGGTACTGGTTTATACTGGTTTATACTGGTTTAGACTGGTTTATGCTGGTTTAGACTGGTTTAGGCTGGGACGGGCCGGTTCCGACCGGTTTCGGGGGTTTTAGGGCGGGTTTCTACTGGTTTGTACTGGGGGGAGCCTCCACGGGGGTGTGGTGGGCCCATACTGGTTTATACTGGTTTAGACTGGTTTATACTGGTCTATACTGGTTTATACTGGTCTATACCAGTCTATACTGGTCTATACTGGTTTATACTGGTCTATACTGGTTTATACTGGTCTATACTGGTCTATACTGGTTTATACTGGTCTATACCGGTTTATACTGGTCTATACTGGTCCATACCGGTTTATACTGGTCCATACTGGTCTATACCAGTTTATACTGGTTTATACTGGTCTATACTGGTTTATACAGGTTTATACTGGTCTATACTGGTCCATACTAGTGTATACTTGTTTATACTGGTCCATACCAGTCTATACTGGTCCATACTGGTTTATAATGGTCCATACTGGTCTATACCGGTTTATACTGGTTTATACTGGTGTATACTGGTTTATACAGGTCCATACTGGTGTATACTGGTGTATACTGGTCTATACTGGTGTATACTGGTTTATACAGGTCTATACTGGTCTATACTGGTCTATACTGGTGTATACTGGTTTATACTGGTCCATACTAGTGTATACTGGTGTATACTGGCCTATACTGGTGTATACTGGTCTATACCGGTCTATACTGGTTTATACTGGTTTATACTGGTCTATACCGGTGTATACTGGTCTATACCGGTCTATACTGGTCTATACTGGTCCATACTGGTCTATACTGGTCCATACTCGTCCATACTGGTCCATACTTGTCTATACTGGTTTATACTGGTCTATACTGGTCCATACTGGTTTATACTGGTGTACACTGGTCTATACTCATTTATACTGGCCCGTACTGGTGTATACTGGTCTATACTGGTCCATACTGGTGTATAGTAGTTTATAGTGGTCTATACTGGTCCATACTGGCCCATACTGGTCCATACTGGTCCCTACTGGTCTATACTGGTCCATACTGGTTTATACTGGTCTATACTGGTCCATACTGGTCTATACTGGTCTATACTGGTCCATACTGGTTTATACTGGTGTACACTGGTCTATACTCATTTATACTGGCCCGTACTGGTGTATACTGGTCTATACTGGTCCATACTGGTGTATAGTAGTTTATAGTGGTCTATACTGGTCCATACTGGCCCATACTGGTCCATACTGGTCTATACTGGTTTATACTGGTGAATAGTAGTTTATAGTGGTCCATACTGGTCCATACTGGTCTATACTGGTCCATACTGGTTCACACTGGTCTATACTGGTCCATACTGGTCTATACTGGTTTATACTGGTTTATACTGGTGTATACTGGTTTATACTGGTTTATACTGGTCTATACTGGTCCATACTGGTTTATACTGGTGTACACTGGTCTATACTCATTTATACTGGTCCGTACTGGTGTATACTGGTGTATACTGGTCCATACTGGTGTATTGTAGTTTACAGTGGTCTATACTGGTCCATACTGGTCTATACTGGTCCATACTGGTCTATACTGGTTTATACTGATGTATAGTAGTTTATAGTGGTCCATACTGGTCCATACTCGTCTATACTGGTGTATACTGGTCCATACTGGTCCATACTGGTCCATACTCGTCTATACTGGTGTATACTGGTCCATACTGGTCCATACTGGTGTATACTGGTGTATACTCATCTATACTGGTGTATACTGGTCCATACTGGTCCCTACTGGTCTATACTGGTCCATACTGGTGTATAGTAGTTTATAGTGGTCCATACTGGTTTATACTGGTTTATACTGGTCCCTACTGGTCCCCCCCAGGCCTGTTCTGCTGCGGGCCGTGCTCGGTGACGGCGGTGAAGAACGGCGAGGTCTTCCTCAAGTACGACACGCCCTTCGTCTTCGCCGAGGTGGGCGGGGCTCCGGCGGGGGGGCGTGGCGTGGCCTACCCCCTCCCCCTATGCAAATGTATGCTAATGAGGGGGGCGTGGCCGGCAGGTGAACAGCGACAAGGTGTACTGGCAGCGGCAGCCGGGCGGCGCCTTCGCCGTGGTGCACGTGGAGGAAGGGGCCATCGGGCGCCGCATCAGCACCGTGGGCGCCGGCTCCGGCCAGCGCCTCGACGTCACCCACCAGTACAAGCACCCCGAGGGTGAGGGCGGGGCCGGCCCCTGAGCTCTCGAGATGACCCCTGACCTCTCGAGCTGACCCTTGACCTCTTGAGCTGACCCTTGACCTCTTGAGCCGACCTTTGACCCCTTGATCCAACCCTTGATCTCTTGACCCAACATTGACTCAACTCTTGACTCAACTCTTGACTCAACTCTTGACTCAACTCTTGACTCAACCCTTGACCTCTTGACCCAATCATTTACCTCTTGACCCAACCCTTGCCCTCTTGACCCCTTGGCCCAACCCTTAACCCCTTGACCCAACCCTTGACCCCTTGACCCAACCGTTGATCTCTTGACCCAAAGGTTGACTCAACTCTTGACTTAACTCATGACCCAACCTTTGACCTCTTCACCCAACCCTTGACCCCTTCACCCAACCATTGATCTCTTGACCCAACCATTGACCCCTTGACCCAACCCTTGACTCAACGCTTGACCCCTTGACCCAACCCTTGACCTCTTGACCCAACCCTTGACCCCTTGACCCAACCCTTGACCCCTTGACCCAACCATTGATCTCTTGACCCAACCGTTGACTCAACTCTTGACTCAACTCTTGACCCAACTCTTGACCCAACCCTTGACCCCTTGACCCAACCCTTGACCTCTTGACCCAACCCTTGACCCCTTGACCCAACCCTTGACCCCTTGACCCAACCGTTGACTCAACTCTTGACTCAACTCTTGACTCAACCCTTGATGCAACCCTTGACCTCTTGACCCAACCCTTGATCCCTTGTCCCAACCCTTGACCCCTTGACCCAACCCTTGAGCCCTTGACCCAACCATTGATCTCTTGACCCAACCGTTGACTCAACTCTTGACTCAACTCTTGACTCAACCCTTGACGCAACCCTTGACCTCTTGACCCAACCCTTGATCCCTTGACCCAACCCTTGACCCCGTGACCCAACCCTTGACCCCTTGACCCAACCCTTGACCCCTTCACCCAACCCTTGACCCCTTCACCCAACCCTTGACCCCTTGACCCAACCCCTGACCCCTTGACCCAACCATTGATTTCTTGACCCAACGCTTGACCCCTTGACCCAACCCTTGACCCCTTCACCCAACCCTTGACCCCTTGACCCAACCCCTGACCCCTTGACCCAACCATTGATTTCTTGACCCAACCCTTGACCCCTTGACCCAACCCTTGACCCCCCCTTGACCCCTTGACCCCCCGGGGCAGGCTCGGAGGAGGAGCGCAAGGCCGTCTCCACGGCGACGTCCCACGGCTCCCGCCCCCGCAACCGCGGCGTCCCCTCCTCGGGGGAGGTGACCCTGACGGTGGGGGCGGGGCCGGCGGTGGCGGGGGCGGAGCTGGAGCTCCGGGCGGTGCTCCGGAACCAGGGGGTGGAGCCTCGGACGCTCAAGCTCCGCCTCTCGCTCTGCGCCGTCCGTTACACCGGAGTGGCGGGATCGCCCTTCCGGCAGGAGCAGCACCGGAGAACCCTGTCCCCGGGAGAGGGTCAGACTGGGAGGGACTGGGAGGGACTGGGAGGGGGTTGGGGGGGACTGGGAGGGACTGGGAGGGGACGGGGATGGACTGGGAGACACTGGGAGTCACTGGGATGGAGTGGGATGGACCGGGAGTGGACTAGAAGTGGACTGGGGTGGATTGGGAGTGAACTGGGAGGGACTGGGAGTGAACTGGGAGGGACTGGGAGTGGACTGGGGGTGACTGAGAGGGACTAGGAGGGACTGGGAGGCACTGAGATGGACTGGAATGAACTGGGAGGGCCTGGGAGTGGACTGGGAGGGACTGGGAGGGTCTGGGAGGGACTGGGATGAACTGGGAGGCACTGAGATGGACTGGGAAGGACTGGGATAGACTGGGAGTCACTGGGATGGACTGGGAGTCACTGGGAGTCACTGGGATGGACTGGGAGTCACTGGGATGGACTGGGATGGACTGGGAGGCACTGGAAGTTACTGGGATGGACTGGGAGGGACTGGGAGTCACTGGGAGACACTTAGAGTCACTGGGATGGACTGGGAGGGACTGGGAGGCACTGGAAGTTACTGGGATGGACTGGGAGGGACTGGGAGAGACTGGGAGGGACTGGTAGAGACTGGGAGGCACTGGAAAGGACTGGGAGGAACTGGGAGGGACTGGGGGGGTTCTCAGAGTGCCGTGACCCCCCCAGAGGAGACGGTGACGATGACGGTGACGTTCGACGAGTACCGGCCCCACATGGGTGACTGGGAGGGACTGGGATGGACTGGGAGGCACTGGGAAGGACTGGGAGGCACTGGGAAGGACTGGGAGGAACTGGGAGGGACTGGGGGGGTTCTCAGAGTGCCGTGACCCCCCCAGAGGAGACGGTGACGATGACGGTGACGTTCGACGAGTACCGGCCCCACGTGGGCGACCAGGACGCCCTGAAGCTGACGGCGGCCGGGGCCGTGCAGGAGACGGGGCAGGTGGTGGCCAAGGAGCTGCGGGTCCGGCTGCACACCCCGGAGCTCACGCTGACGGTGGGGGAAACGCCACGGCCACCCCCGGAATCCCGGGATAGCCCCAAATCCCGGGAGAGCCCCCCCTAAAAATCCTGGGATAGTCCCCCCAAAAACCGGGATGGCCCCCATTGGGTTTAATGGGTAGACCTGATGTCCCATCTGACCCCATTGACTTTAACGGGTAGACCTGATGTCCCGTTTGCCCCTTTGACTTTAACGGGTAGACCTGATGTCCCGTTTGCCCCTTTGACTTTAACGGGTAGACCTGATGTCCCGTTTGCCCCATTGACTTTAACGGGTAGACCTGATGTGTATCATCTGCCCCATTGACTTTAATGGGTAGACCTGATGTCTCATTTCCCTCATTGATTTTAACGGGTAGACCTGATGTCTCGCTTCCCCCATTGACTTTAACGGGTAGACCTGATATCCCATCTGACCCTATTGACTTTAGTGGGTAGACCTGATGTCCTGTTTGCCCTTTTGACTTTAACGGGTAGACCTGATGTCCCATCTGACCCCATTGACTTTAACGGGTAGACCTGATGTCCCATTTGCCCTATTGACGTTAACGGGTAGACCTGATGTCCCGTTTGCCCCTTTGACTTTAACGGGTAGACCTGATGTCCCATTTGCCCCATTGACTTTAACGGGTAGACCTGATGCCCGGAATATTTTGGAGCTAAAAACCTTCGTTTTGGGGCTAAAAATTATCATTTTTTATACCTAAAATCCCCCATTTTATGCGTAAAGAAGCCCACCCGTGGGTTAAAAGTCACCATTTTAGGGGTAAAAATGATCGTTTCGGAGACAAGGCCAACAATTTTTGGGCGAAGTCCCGTCATTTAGTGATTAAAAAAAATCACCATTTCGAGCCTAAAAATTATCATTTTGGGGCAAAAATGACCATTATGGGGCTAAAAGGGACCAGTTTTGGGCTGAAAAGTATTATTTTAGTGCTAAAAATGGCCATTTAGGGGGCTAAACCCACCCTTTTTGGGGGTTCAAAATGACCCTTTTGAGCCTAAAAAACGACGATTTTGGGGGTAAAAATGACAATTTTGAAGGGTAAAAATGACAATTTTGGGGCTAAACTGGAGGGTTTTGGGTCCGCAGCTCCTGGCTCCGGCCGTGGTGGGCCAGGAGACCCCGATCCAGGTGGTTTTCCAGAACCCCCTTCCCGAGGTTCTGACCGGGACCACCCTGAGGATGGAGGGGGCGGGGATCGCCTGCCCCAAACCGGTGTCGCTGGGGTGAGCCACTGGGTTGTACTGGGAGGGACTGGGAGGGAACTGGGAGGGGATTGGGAGGGACTGGGAGGGGATTGGGAGGGACTGGGAGGGACTGGGAGGGGAATTGGGAGGGACTGGGAAAGGGGGGACTGGGATGGGAGGGACTGGGAGTCACTGGGAGGGATTGGGAGGGGATCACTGGGAGGGACTGGGAGGGACTGGGAGGGGACTGGGAGGGACTGGGAGGGGACTGGGAGCACTGGGAGTCACTGGGATGAACTGGGAGGCACTGGGATGGACTGGGAGGGACTGGGAGCACTGGGAGTCACTGGGAACCACTGGGAACCACTGGGATGGACTGGGATGGACTGGGAGGGACTGGGAGTCACTGGGAGGCACTGGGATGGACTGGGAGGGACTGGGAGTCACTGGGAGGCACTGGGATGGACTGGGAGTCACTGGGAGGCACTGGGAGTCACTGGGATGGACTGGGAGCACTGGGAGTCACTGGGATGAACTGGGAGGCACTGGGATGGACTGGGAGGGACTGGGAGCACTGGGAGTCACTGGGAACCACTGGGAGTCACTGGGATGAACTGGGATGGACTGGGCTGGACTGGGAGTCACTGGTATGGACTGGGAGTCACTGGGAGCCACTGGGATGGACTGGGAGTCACTGGGATGAACTGGGAGTCACTGGGACGAACTGGGATGGACTGGAATGGACTGGGAGGGGTCAGTGGGCGTGGCCTGACCATCTCTCTCCCCCTTTGGCTCCGCCCCCCGCAGGTCGGTGGGGGCGGGGCAGACGGTGCGGCTCAGCCAATCGGTGACGCCGCTGCGGGCCGGACGGCGCCGCCTGGTGGCGGCTCTGGAGAGCTCCGGGCTCGGGCCCCTCCACGGGAGCCTCCAGTTCGACGCCGCCCCCGCCCCAACTGGGAGCACTGGGAGCGCTGGGAGCGGCCCCGCCGAGCCGCGCCGGGGCAGGAGGAGGGCGGGCAGGAGGAGCGGCAGCACCGGGGGGTGACTGGGAGGCACTGGGAGGGGACTGGGAGGGCACTGGGAGGGATTGGGAGGGGTTTGGGTGGCACTGGGAGGGCACTGGGATGGACTGGGAGAGCAGCGGGATGAATTGGGAAGGACTGGGAGGGACTGGGAGGGCACTGGGAGGGACTGGGAGGGGGTTGGGTGGCGCTGGGAGGGCACTGGGACGAACTGGGAGGGGTTACTGGGAGCACTGGGAGGGCACCGGGATGGACTGGAAGGGCGCTGGGATGGACTGGGAGGGCAGTGGGATGAACTGGAAGGGACTGGTCAGGCACTGGGATGGACTGGAAGGGCACTGGGATGGACTGGGAGGACAGTGGGATGAACTGGGAAGGACTGGGAAGGCACTGGGATGGACTGGGAAGGCAGTGGGATGGACTGGGAGGGACTGGGAGGGCACTGGGACGAACTGGGAGGGGTTACTGGGAGCACTGGTCAGGCACTGGGATGACATGGGAGGGATTGGGATGGACTGGGAGGGTACTGGGACACACTGGGAGGGGTTACTGGGAGCACTGGTCAGGCACTGGGAGGGTAGTGGGATGAACTGGGAGGGTACTGGGATGAACTGGAAGGGCACTGGGAGCACTGGGAAGGCACTGGGAGGGCAGTGGGATGAACTGGGAGGGTTTGGAATGGACTGGGATGTCACTGGGAGACAGTGGGAGGGGTCACTGGGAGCACTGGGAGGGCACTGGGATGAACTGGGAGGGACTGGGAGGGCACTGGGATGAACTGGGAGGGACTGGGAGGGATCACTGGGAGCAGTTCCCACCATACTGGGAACGCTGGGACCAGTTTGTCCCGCACTGGGAGCACTGGGAGGGGGCACTGGGAGCACTGGGACCGGCCCCGCCCCTCCTGGCCCCGCCCCAGTGACGTCATCGCACCATGACGTCACATTTCCCTCCACCAATAAAATGATGTTTGGAAACGCCACCGCGTGACGTCACTGAGGGGGCGGGGCCTCGGGTCTGGCTCGAACTGGGAGGGACTGGGAGGGGATTGGGAGGGACTGGGAGGGACTGGGAGGGGATTGGGGGGGGATTGGGAGGGACTGGGAGGGACTGGGAGGGACTGGGAGGGACTGGGTGCACTGGGAGGGACTGGGAACACTGGGAGGGACTGGGAGGGGATTGGGAGGGACTGGGAGGGGATTGGGAGGGACTGGGAGTGAACTGGGAGGGACTGGGAGGGACTGGGAGGGACTGGGAGGGACTGGGAGGGGATTGGGAGGGACTGGGAGGGACTGGGAGGGGAGTGGGGGGGACTGGGAGGGACTGGGAGGGCAATGGGGCCATACTGGTTTGTACTGGAATGGAACTGGGAGGCTCTGGGGCCATACTGGTTTGTACTGGGATGGAACTGGGAGGCTCTGGGGGGTAACTGGTTTTGTACTGGGAAAGACTGGGAAGACACTGGAGGGTAACTGGTTTGTACTGGGAGGGAACTGGGAGGCTCTGGGGGGTAACTGGTTTGTACTGGGAGGGAACTGGGAGGCTCTGGGGGGTAACTGGTTTGTACTGGGAGGTACTGGGAGAGCCCCCGCCAAGCACTGACCCCTCCCACTGTGACATCACTTTATTAGACACGCCCCTCGAGGGGCGGGGCCAAGCCAGGAAAGGGGCGTGGCCAGCAGCAACATGCGGGTGGGCGTGGCCTCCGCCCAGCAGCCAATCAAGTCCAGGCGACGTCGACGAGGGGGAGGAGCTGGGCCAGCTGGGCGGGGCCATCGGGGGCGGAGCTCAGGGGGGTCTCGGCCAATCCCAGGCGAGCCAGGCGGGGGCAGGCGGCCAATGGGGCGAGGGCGGGGGCGTGGCTGATGGCTGGGAAGGGGCGGGGTTTAAGGACACGCCCCCCCTCAAGAGGACACGCCCCCTCAACCCCTTCGGTGTTCAATCCCTCCCAAGCCACGCCCACAGACCCGAAACCCCACCCACAACCCCAAGCTCCACCCACAGACACCCAAGCCACGCCCACAGAGCCCAAGCCACACCCACAGACACAAAGCCACACCCACAGACCCCGAAGCCACACCCACAGACCCCAAACCACACCCACAGAGCCCAAGCCACACCCAGAGCCCAAGCCACACCCACAACCCCCAAGCCACACCCACAGACCCCAAACCCCACCCACAGACCCCAAACCACACCCACAGACACAAAGCCACACCCACAGACCTCAAACCCCACCCACAACCCCCAAGCCACACCCGCAACCCCCAAGCTCTGCCCACAGACCCCCAAGCCACACCCACAGACCCCAAACCACACCCACAGACCCCAAGCCACACCCACAACTCTAAACCACACCCACAGACCCAAAGCCACACCCACAGACCCCAAGCCACACCCACAGACCCCAAACCCCACCCACAATCCCCAAGCCACACCCGCAAACCCCAAGCCCCGCCCACAGACCCCCAAGCTCTGCCCACAGACCCCAAGCCACACCCACAGACCCTAAACCACACCCACAGACCCCAAACCACACCCACAACCCCTTAACCACACCCACAGCCCATAAACCACTCCCACAACCCCAAGCCCCGCCCTCCCCCAGCCCCCCCCTCCCAAGCCCCGCCCCCCCAAGCCCCGCCCCCTTTTCCCTCACGGTTCCCGTCGAGCCGCAGCCGCTCCAGGCGGGGGAGGGGCGGGAACGGCCCCAAATCCGACATCCGGTTCCGGGACAGGTCCAGCTCCTGCCGGGGGGGGGGGTTGGGATCCCAGTATAAACCAGTATAAACCAGTATAAACCAGTCAATGGCTCACTATTTGGCAGGAAGTGGATTTGGGGGTGTCCATGGCTCACTATTTGGCAGGAAGAGGATTTTGGGGTGTCAGTGGCTCACTATTTGGCAGGGGGGTGTCACTGGCTCACTATTTGGCAGGGGTGGATTTTGGGGTGTCACTGGCTCACTATTTGGCAGGAAGTGGATTTTTGGGGTCCAGGGGTGGATTCTGGGGTGTCAGTGGCTCACTATTTGGCAAAGGTGGATTTTGGGGTGTCACTGGCTCACTATTTGGCAGGAAGTGGATTTTGGGGTGTCATTGGCTCACTATTTGGCAGGAAGAGGATTTTGGGGTGTCAGTGGCTCACTATTTGGCAGGGGGGTGTCACTGGCTCACTATTTGGCAGGGGTGGATTTTGGGGTGTCACTGGCTCACTCTTTGGCAGGAAGTGGATTTTGGGGTGTCAGTGGCTCACTATTTGGCAGGGGTGGATTTTGGGGGTCCAGGGGTGGATTCTGGGGTGTCAGTGGCTCACTATTTGGCAGGAAGTGGATTTTGGAGTGTCACTGGTTCACTATTTGGCAGGAAGTGGATTTTGGGGTGTCAGTGGCTCACTATTTGGCAGGAAGTGGATTTTGGGGGTCCAGGGGTGGATTTTGGGGGGTGTCACTGAGTCAGTATTTGGCAGGGGTGGATTTTGGGGTGTCAGTGGCTCACTATTTGACAGGAAGTGGATTTTTGGGGGTGTCAATGGCTCACTATTTGGCAGGAAGAGGATTTTGGGGTGTCAGTGGCTCACTATTTGGCAGGGGGGTGTCAGTGGCTCACTATTTGGCAGGAAGTGGATTTTACGGTGTCACTGGCTCACTATTTGGCAGGAAGTGGATTTTGGGGGGTGTCAGTGGCTCACTATTTGGCAGGAAGTGGATTTTGGGGGTGTCAGTGGCTCACTATTTGGCAGGAAGTGGATTTGGGGTGTCAGTGGCTCACTATTTGGCAGGAGTGGATTTTGGGGTGTGTCAGTGGCTCACTATTTGGAAGGGGTGGATTCTGGGGTGTCAGTGGCTCACTATTTGGCAGGAAGTGGATTTTTGGGGTCCAGGGGTGGATTCTGGGGTGTCAGTGGCTCACTATTTGGCAGGAAGTGGATTTTTGTGTGTCACTGGCTCACTATTTGGCAGGAAGTGGATTTTGGGGTGTCAGTGGCTCACTATTTGGCAGGAAGTGGATTTTGGGGGTCCAGGGGTGGATTTTGGGGTGTCACTGGCTCACTATTGGGCAAGGGGGTGTCAGTGGCTCACTATTTGGCAGGAAGTGGATTTTGGGGTGTCAGTGGCTCACTATTTGGCAGGAAGTGGATTTTGGGGTGTCAGTGGCTCACTATTTGGCAGGGGTGGATTTTGGGGATCCAGGGGTGGATTTTGGGGTGTAAGTGGCTCACTATTTGGCAGGAAGTGGATTTTGGGGTGTCAGTGGCTCACTATTTGGCAGGGGGGTGTCACTGGCTCACTATTTGGCAGGAAGTGGATTTTGGGGGTCCGGGGTGGATTTTGGGGTGTCACTGGCTCACTATTTGGCAGGAAGTGGATTTTGGGGTGTCACTGGCTCACTATTTGGCGGGGGTGTCAGTGGCTCACTATTTGGCAGGGGGTGGATTTTGGGGTGTCACTGGCTCACTATTTGGCGGGGGTGTCAGTGGCTCACTATTTGGCAGGGGTGGATTTTGGGGGTCCAGGGGTGGATTTTGGGGGTGTCACTGGCTCACTATTTGGCAGGAAGTGGATTTTTGGGGGGTCCCTCACCTGGAGGCGCCGAAGGGCCCCCAAATTGCGGGGGAGGCTCCTCAGGAGGTTCCCGGAAAGGTCCAGGTGGGTCACCAGGACCATTCGCTCCGCCAGGGGAAGTGACGTCAGCGCCTGGGGGCGGGGCCAACAGCAAACCAGTATGGACCAGTCAAAACCAGTATGAACCAGTATAAACCAGTATGAACCAGTAAAAACCAGTATAAAGCAGTATGAAACAGCATAAACCAGTATGAAACAGCATAAATCAGTATAAACCAGTATGAACCAGTATAAACCAGTAAGCCCCAAAATCACTCCCAGTGGGTCCTGCACTCTCTCCCAGTACAAACCAGTATAAACCAGTATAAACCAGTAAGGCCCAAAATCACTCCCAGGGGGTCCTGCACTCCCTCCCAGTAGAAACTAGTATAAACCAGTAGAAACCAGTAAGCCCCAAAATC